TTTTTTTTTTTTTTTTTTTTTTTAATGCAAATGAAGGCATTTTTAGAATTATATTAGAAAGTATATATATTTTAGGATTTATTTTTTGAAATTTAAACTATTAAATTAATAAAAGTACTCCAAAAAATTTTCTTAAAAATACTTTGTTAATTTTCAAAAGTTTCAATAATATTTTAAATTTTATAAAATTTGATAAAAAAATATCATTATTGTTGTTTTGAAATGGAGATCGTTAGTATTCTATTTCAATTAAAATCCTTGATATTATTAGTATCGTGTTTAAATAAATACCCATTAAAAATGTCTTATTAATTTAACGGTTTAAAAACTTATAAATTAAATAAGAATTCATATAACTTTTTAAACTCAGATTATAAGTTTATTTGTGATTTTACCGTTCGTGATCTCACTAAAAATACTTTATAAAATTATTCCTAACCTTATCGATTAAACCCTTGCGTCATTTGACATCAATCACATAATAAAATAAGTTATATAAATTAGTTAAATTATATTCAAGTTAATCTTATAAAATAAAATATAAATAATTTTTAGTTCTAAGTTGACCGATTAATAAATAATTAATAAATAATTATAATAATAACACATCCATACACATGTGTTCCACAAAAAATTTATTATATTTGAAAATAAAAACTATTATTTTAATTTTTTATGAGTTGTTTTAATTAATTGACAATTACTTCGTTGACTTAAAACTTAACTTAAAATATTCGAAGTTTCAATTTCAAAAAATTATAATATTCAAATTTCTTCCAATAATTATTAAATAATTATAATAAGTTTAATTTAATTTAATAATATGTCCTATTTATTATTATTATTATTATTATTTTATATATAACTTATAGTTTTTTCAATAAGAGTCTCTCCAACTTTCTCGCCAACCGTGTATATGAATATCTATAGCTAGTCTAGATCGAACGATCATTACAAAACAACAGTGGTGATTCCATTGAATAATTTTCATTAAAAAGTTTTTTTTTTTTTCCATTCAACAAGTGCCGGAACACGATATTGAACTATCACTAGGATTAAAATTAATATCTTATCCAACGTGCTACAATAAGATTGACCGAATAATATTAAAATCTTTATCTTTTTATTAATGTAAAAAATATGCTAAATTCTCTATCTTCAGTTTAGTAAATTTTATTGTAGTTTTAGCTAGCGTCAATTAATTTTCTAGAAAAATGTTATTAATTTCTATTAATATATGTATATCTATAGCTAGTCTTATAGGTTTTTAAAATCGACTATTTTGGGTCCAAATTTATTAAAAGTATAATAGATGTTACGTGTTTCTTTTAGAACTTCTAATAATGCTCGTTGAATCAATACAAGAATATATAATGAACTAGCTCAACCGTACTAATTCTCTTATCGTTGGAGATTAAATCCCCTTATTTCACATTTGTTATACTAAAAAATGGTATAAAGAATCGTATGATCTTATAATCTTAAAAAAAAAAAAAAAAAAGTTTTGTTTGTATCCATGAAAAAAGGTGTGGGAATGATCTAATAGCTTGAAGTCCACACATTTTCAATTCACGGTCTATCTCTTTTCAAATTTCAGTTGGATTTCTTCGCTTCTACTCTTTTTTTGTTCCTTTTTTGGTAAGATGTTCATGCGTTGTCGATCGAGTAAAGGGTCTCCCCAGAAAATCAGAAGTTAAAACACTACGAATCATGTTCATCAGCAACCTCCGTTGCGATCCAACCCGTTTTGTGTATATTAAAAACCCATTTCCCAGTTCATACAAATCTTCCGAAACTATCATTTCTTCCCCTTTTGTTCGTCTCTGCTGCATTTGATTTCAAAATCCTCTGAAGTTTGTGGGGTTTTGGTGTTTTCATCTGGGTGTGAAATCGATCGCACTAATTGATTTCGTGAAAGAAAGGGTTTCTGTGATTCAGTGGGTGGGGGACTTCTTGTGCATTGGTAATGTTCTTGACGACGGCGGCGCTTTGCTGTTGAAGCGACGGAGGAGTGTTCTTGTGGTTTAAAATTTCTTGTTGATGATTCTTCACGGCTCCGTCTTCTCCATTTGCAGGGATGCTGCTGGAGTCGCCGGTACGGCTCTCTACTTCTCTTTCTTGTCTTAAATTCTTCCATTAATGGCGGTAGAAGCTCGTTTTCTTGGCAAATAGTTAGGGTTCAATGGATTTTGCCTTCGTTCTGTGGATGCCCTTTTCAATATCATGTTCTTGATTCAACTGTTAATGATATATATCAAGATTGCCTTCATTTATTGTTCTTATTAGAGTTCATTCAACTCCGACTGTTGGTTCTTTTGCCTCTGTATTTTATGTATTTTATGTTAGGAATAACTACTCTCCACAGTCCACTTTGAGCATAAGCTCTCATGGCTTTGCTTTGGGACTCCCTTCCAACGATCCTTAACAATCGTCCCCTCGAACAAAGTACACTATAAAGCCTCCTTTGAAGCCTATGAAGCCCTCGAACAGCCTCCCCTTAATCGAGGTTCGACTCCTTTTCTGGAGTCTTCGAACAAAGTATACTATTTGTTCGTCACTTTTGACTACACCTTTGAGGCTCACAACTTTTTTGTTCAACATTTGAGGATTCTATTGACATGACTAAGTTAAGGGTATGACTCTGATACCATGTTAGGAATAACGACTCTCTACAATGGTATGATATTGTCCACTTTGAGCATAAACTCTCGTGACTTTGCTTTGGGTTTCCTCAAAAGACCTCATACGAATGAAGATGTATTCCTTACTTATAAACCGATGATTGTTATTTCCTTTCCTTTTTCATGAGAATGGTACTTCATTCATTTGCAGGGCACATCTTTGCTTTTGGGCTGTTCTTGTCACCTCTGTAAGTTCTATCCATGGTACCCCATCTCTGCTACTTGACTTTACATATTCACCATTTTCTTCGTTTCCTTACTTTGGGATTGACTTGTAGAGATACGTTTCGACGTGTTATTCGAAACCAAACAACCGAACAGTTTTCGGGTTCGCCATATATATATGCTTTGTTGAACTGCCTCATTTGTCTATGGTATGGCACCCCCCTCATTTCCCCACGAAACACAATGGTCATGACGGTCAACTCGATCGGCGCGGTGTTTCAGTTAGTCTACATCTTTCTCTTCATAGCATATGCTGAAAAGGGAAGAAAGGTGCTTACTTGTATGCCTATGATATGAACTAGAAATCTAAGTTTGTGGAAGATTTCTGTTTGTTGAAGTTCTATCTTTTGTGTTTGTGACAGATGAAAATGCTTGGATTGTTGCTTGCAGTGTTTGCCATTTTTATAGCTATTGTTGCAGGGAGCTTACAGATAGCAAACGTCCCTTTGCGACGAAATGTCGTCGGGATCTTGAGTTGTGCATCTCTCGTGTCGATGTTTGCTTCTCCATTGTTCATAATCGTAAGCCTAGTTTGTAAGCTTCTTCTTGTCTACCTTCTGTTGTTGGATGCTTACTTTTCTTGTTCGTTCGGTTTTTCGCACGCTCTCAGAATTTGGTGATTCGAACAAAGAGTGTGGAGTTTATGCCGTTTTATCTCTCTCTTTCGACCTTCCTCATGAGCGTATCGTTCTTCCTCTATGGACTGTTCAATTACGATCTGTTCGTTTATGTAAGCATCGTCGTACTCGTTTCCTTTGTTCAATTCATTGGATTGAGTATGTGACATAAATTTATATCTTGTTGTCAAACTTCAGGCACCAAATGGGATTGGAGCTGTGTTGGGGATAGTACAATTGGTATTGTACTTCTACTACAGTCGAGCCGCTACAGAGGAGCCTAGAGAACCTCTACTCGTATCGTACTCGTAAATACGTGCATTGTGTATTTACATAGTTATAATAAGGTAAGACTCCATGTATGTACTCTTTTTGTCGATTCTCGAGCCCCCACGGAGCTCAATTGTAATAGCTCAAGCCCACTGCTAGCAGATATTGTCTGCTTCAGCCCATTACGTATCGTTGTTAGTCTTACGGTTTTAAAACGCGTATGTTAGGGAGAGGTTTCCACACCCTTGAGGGGAAGCTCGAAAAGAATAATATCTACTAGCGGTGGGGTTAGGCGGTTACATCAACCATCTAGTTTTTTTTGGATTTGTGCAAGTGTTATTAAACGCGCTAGTGAGTAAATATTTGACTCGTCGGTTGAGTTGCATCATATGGTATTGGAAAGTCGAAGTTTAGTCTACGAGTTTGCTTATCTCGAAAATTTCGTTTGTAAGGCTAGACACTCACCTAATCACGTGAGATAATTTGAAGCACCGCCATAAAATAGGATAATTTTGTTTAAACTTTCAAATTTTCATTAATAATTTTAACTTTTTTTAATATAAAAATACCATCAACAGGAGTATTAATACTATATTTAAAAAATATTACAAAATTATGTTAATATCCTTAAATTTTTAGAAAAAAGTTTAATTTTTTAATTTGCAGTATATAAAATTCTGTCCATACTTCTTTAAATTTACCTCGAGGGATAAAAAATTAAATTAAAAATAATATTTGAGGGTTAATTTTTATTATATTTATGGTTGAAAATGAGAGAATATTATTTATTTATTTTTAAAGTTCTATTTATATATCTATATATATATAAAAGACTTAAAAAAAAATAATATTCTTAAAACTTAAAAAAAAGATGAAAAATTAATATCTTTGAACTTAATTAAAAAAAAATATATATATATTTATTATTATTAATTTAGTTTTTTTAAAGCTAAACGGATTGAGTTCTTCGTTTCCGAACAGGCGGTAAAGCGAACAAAAAAGAAAGGTTGGAAGAAGAAACCCTGCTAGGGTTTTTATTTTTCAATCCAATTGAATTGTTGGGACGATAATTCCCTAATTTCCCTTTCTCCGTCTTAATCTATACCATCCTACTAATCCACTTTCACTCAAATTCCTCCTCTGCTGGAAGGTTAGTATCTGGATTTCGATCCACTGCCTACTTTCATTGTTCATCGTATTCGTGTGGAATGAAACCCGTTCCTGTTAAATAATGATTTTTCAGTTTCGTATTCGACGTGGCTGGGCTGGTTGATAGCTTAACTTATCGAATTCTTCGGGGGTGTATGGCATTCCGATTGCTTCGCTCGGAGTGGCTTTCCTTGGAGTGGACACAAAGTTGGCTTCTTGATGGTTATGATAGTTCTAATACGTATAACTTTTAGGATGGGGGAAGAAATTGAAATGTAACTTGGTTTTTGGGTATTGGGAGATAGTCTAGTTAATGATTCTATACAAATGGGTGATTGGGTTTCTTTCATACTGGCGTTTTTTTTTCTGCTGGCATTGGCTGTCTTCTTGTTTTTCTCGAGGTGTTAGAACTAAGAACTTCGTTTACTTCCTTTCTTTCTTTCTTTCTTTCTTTCTTTTTATTATTATTTTTTTTATTTTTAATTTTAGCGGAATCAGGATTATATGTGGCCTGTGAACACTCATTTTTTTTTATTATTTTTTTTTTATAAATTTTTTGATTGTTACTTAGATCGTTCTTTTGGTATTTCTTTCATAGATTATGTCTGGAAGAAATCGTGGACCGCCTATCCCACTAAATGGGGTTCATCACGGCGCACTACCATCAGTTAGAGAGCCTCCATTTGCCAGAGGCCTTGGGCCAAGGCCACATCCAGCGCTTCTTGAGGAAATCAGAGAAACACAGTATGGGATGCATCCAGGACCCCTTCCTCCACACCCTGTAATAATTGAGGAGCGTCTTGCTGCCCAACATCAAGATATTCAAGGTCTTCTTCTCGATAACCAGAGGCTTGCTGCGACCCATGTTGCGCTTAAGCAGGAACTAGAAGCAGCCCAGCATGAGTTGCAACGTATGGCTCATGTTGCTGATTCCTTACATGCAGAAAGGGACATTCAGATGAGAGAGTTGTATGAAAAATCGGTTAGACTAGAGGTTGATCTGCGAGGAGTTGAGACTATGCGGGCAGAGCTTCTTCAAGTTCATTCTGATGTAAAGGAACTAACTACTGCAAGGCAGGAGCTCAATGGTCAAGCACAAGCAATGACACAAGATCTAACCAGAATTACTGCAGATTTGCAGCAAGCCCCAGCATTGAGGGCAGAAATTGAAACTGTGAAGCAGGAATTGCATCGTGCTAGGTATTTTATGGCAGTCTGTTGGATTGTAAACTTTGATGGTGATATAAGGTGTTTGTTTTTTTTTTTTTGGATATTTTGTAATTCTGATTAGCGTACATGATACTTTGCATTTTAAGAGTTGCAATAGAGTATGAAAAGAAGGGATATGCGGAGAATTATGAACACGGTCAGGTTATGGAGAAGAAACTGGTTTCAATGGCTAGGGAGTTGGAGAAACTTAGAGCTGAGGTTGCTAATGCAGAGAAGAGAGCTCATGCTTCTGCTGCTGCAATTGGAAATGCTGGTATGCCTATTCTTTGGCTTGCATTGAGCCCCTCATTTGTTTTCACACTTTTGTAAGCTGTTAATTGTATGGAAGCTGAATTTAAACATGATGGGGGTAAATGGTTACTGAATTTATAGTTTTTCTGTCGTATTCTTTCTTGGTTGTTCCTTACCCAAAAACGGTTAGTCATTCTTTGTCATTGTGTGAGGACAATGATAGATTCTTGAGGAACTTTAATCTAACTATAGTCTGGTTAGCTGTAAAGTGGATTAAACAGCATAGGTTAGTTTTGTGCAAAATATCTCGTTAACTGAATTGTCCGGTAGTTCACATTGTTGTATATTCTCTCTGAACTTGATAAATAATTTGTCTAGCTGCTGGCTATGGTGCAAGTTATGGCAATGCTGATGCTGGATATGCAGGAAATCCATATTCTACAAATTATGGCTTGAACAACGTAAGTTTTCAGTTTATTTGTTACTTCTAGGTTGTCTGAATAGTGTACGTACTGTACATCTGGACAAGCCGAAATTTTTTTAACGTGGATAAAAATGCAATTCCTGTGGAAAGTGGATAAATGTTTCAAGAAATAGCATGAAAACGATGATAATTTGGATCGACTTTTTAAAGTTAGAAAATTTTTATATTTCTCAAATCAGTAGATAGTAATTCATATCTAAAGTTAAGCTTGTTAACACCAAAAATAATTACAGGCATGTGCTCCATCTATTTGCAATAGAAAAAAGGATTTGTCATAAAACAAAGTTGACTCATACACTCGAAGCTTTTTTTGGATTATTTGCATTTCTATGCAAGTTTCTGGGTCTTAGTCTTTTAGGTCACTGCTATACTTCTCATTTACCATTTGTGTATGTGTCTTCCTTCTTGATTTCTATATTGTTTGTTCTTTTGAATGGCATATTATGTTTCTGTTATAAATCGTAGGTACAGTCTGGTACAGATGGTTATCCTCCGTATGGACCTGGATCTGTTTCCTGGGGTGCGTATGACATGCAACGGGCTCAAGGACATAGATAGACTAGTTTGCTATGTCCTGCTAAGATGTTTCTTGCAGAGGGCTTGAGGTTCAAATCACAAAGCATTGATAATTAGGTCTGAATCTGAAATGTTGTTTTGTGATAAACATTTTATTACATTTGCTTATAAACAGTTTTCAAGCTGGACTTGAACTAGCAATTAATTTGGCCTGACGAGGCAATATGCTACTTTTAGTTTCAAATGATTTATTTTCTCTGCATATGCCTTGTGCACATTTCAAATGTGATATTTGTTTCTTATGTTCAATTTGATTTTTGCTTTTGATACATTGAAGATTAGATGTATAGTTTTTTTGAATTGTGAATCTACTTGCAGTCCTTTTTTTTTTTTTTTGGTTTATAAGCGCAGATTTGCTTATGTGTTTTACTTAACAGTTTCAATGATTAAGTTGTAAGAATTAGATAGGTTAGGTCGAGTTGCTTGCTCACCTTGCGGCATTTAGTCTCTTTTATCTCTTTATAGGGATCCTTGTATGATATCCATTTTCTGCCATTGGAAGTGGATCGCAGATTTCTTTTTTGTGGGGCTTTATTATGTCCATTATATAGTAGACAAAGTTAAGAAAAACTTATGAAGAAAAGGATCTCAAACTGTGTGTGGCCAAGACCTTAGGCCAACTAGAAGAGAGTTTAGAAATATGAACTTAGAGAGAGGTGTTAATATGTACTACGCCAAACCTCGAAAAACTCAAAAAAGAGGCAAAATGACATCCTCTGTAAAAACTCAAACTCTTGTCCATAGTTAAGCCAAAAGTCCTTCACAGTCAACACCTCACTTCGGGAGTACAAGGGGCAAGCCACAAAAGGTGGTTCAATTCTTTTGAAGTGTCCTTGCACAAATACAGCCGGTGGTGCCAAATACAAAGGTGGAGGTTCTCTAGAGGAAGTCTAATGTGGTGGGAACTCTATCAAGGGTGATAAGCCAAGAAAGGATCCAAGTTGTCTTCAACATCCAAAATTTAGAGAACAAAGACGGTTGGAAGAAGAAGAATATACCAAGTAAATTTACATAGACTTACTAGTGAAAACACCAGAAAGATTGTCTAGACTACATCAATTGAATAGGGATCTACACAAATAAATATTGCAGGCATGGTAAGCCACTCAGTTGATTTACCCTCTTCATTAGTTCTTAATACTCATCTGAAGGATCATTAGCTTAATGCTTTTGAAGTAAGTTTTATGTAACACATAGTTGATTTTGTCCGTTAGTATCTTCTTTTTCCGAACATTAAATACAATCAGTGAAACAGGACCATGTAAAACTAGGTGGACTACAGATTTATCATGGAGATGTCATATGTTTTTGGCCTATCTGCAGAAATTCATGGACTTAGGACCATTTTAGATAATCACTTTTTATATGTCAAATCTCAAAACTAAAGTTCTGCTTGTCTTTCTTTATTCTTTCCCATCCTATTTTGTTGAATTTTGTCAAGTGACCAAAATATTGTAACTTAAGGTGTTGTTGTTAGCTTACTAAATGTAGATCAAGTGATTCTCTAACGTATTCATTTGTCGTTGGGGACCTAGCTGTCTAGGAGTTCTGGGTTCTAGTATGTTTAGTTGTACTGGAGTCACATGGTTATACTTTAATCTTTAGTTTATGGTGCATGAAATTGAGGATCGAAACATGGATTCTAAAAGAGGTGGAGAGTATAGAAATGATATAGGCTTGCCATATATAAATGTATTTATACTTTTAAATGACTGTAGTTTGTGTAAAACTCCTTGTACTCTCACCTTGGCAACCATGTATTTTTCTGGTTACATGGTATGGGTTCCAGCCACTGCTAATCCATAAAGAGGTATTGTATGCCTTGAGCTGACTCGAATAGACACTAAGAGTGTAATCTTTGTCTCAAGAAGCTTGTGCTTAGGTCATTTCAGAGAAGGATATTCTTATCTCAGATATTGGTAACAGTTACCTGCCGGTCTCCGGCCACAATTTTCAACAGGCATGTACCTTAGTGCACCTTGTGCTTTGATCTGTCTTGTGGGCCTCTGTGAAGACCACAGTTTTATAATACTTTGGCTTCTTTTTCTTAATTTTTCTGCGCTTTAGTAACTTAGCTTTTTCCTGGTGAACCCCTGCGAATCATTACATGTTTATGGTTTATTTTCCTTTCCTTTTTTCTTTTGTTTCTATATCAACTTTGTATGTAAGAGATTTTATTGTCTGCAATTTCCATATGCAAAGATCTTTTTTAGTCTTTTTAAATATTTAAATTAGGTGCTTTCTTCATTCTAGTTCTTTTTCTGTGCATGCTTTTAAGATATTTTTCACGTTAATGCTTCTTAGACTACAGTGGTTCTTTGGTTTTCAAGTGTTCAATTGATGGCTGCTTGTTCATATTTTATCACACACCATGCATGTAATTTAATGTGATGTGTCATTCTATTCTCAACATCTTCACGTTGTAGTTTTGTATAGGTAGTTAATTTGTAGTCATATATATACATATTATATATATATATATATATATATATATATATATATATATATACACATATATATATATATCTTTTTGTGCTAAGAAGGCATGGAGTTGCAACAGTACCTGAATATGCTATTTTATTCTTCCTTTTCTTAGACAAGATTGTTCTTTAGTTTGTGAAAATCACAATATGATTTTTCTTTAATGGAAGGTCTTAAGAATGTTTCCTTAAATCCTATTTTTGTTTTTCCTGCATTCTTCGTCATTCCCCTCAAAATAGGCTGGATTTCCTTTTCTACCATGAAACATTCTTTTTGTCTTAGTGAGTTCCTGCCTCTCACAAAAAGTAAAGAACACGAGTGAACACATCACTGTGGGAGTGCGTTGAAATGTGCATGTAATACATACTATTCACCCATTGTAATTTATGAAGTTAGTGCAATTGTAATCTCTGCAACCGGTGGCACTCGGTGGCACTCAAGTAAACCAGCAGCCACATTGTTCCCATCTCATTATGTAATTTCTCCATTTTGATCTACTGATTAGAAATAATTTGATTACATTTATTTATTTCCTACTTTGGTTAGTAAAAGGTCAGCAGCAATTAGATTTACATGTAAGTGGTGGCGTATAATCTGCTTCAGTTCAATTTTGGATCCTCTTTCAGATTTCAAGAGTTTTTTTCTTTAACTGATATTGCATCCTATTCTTCCTATGATATAGTTTTTTCCCCATAAGTCTCTGGCTTTCAAATCTACATTCCATCCTCATCCTTTCTTTTTAAGATGTCTCAGAGGGTTGAAGTTCCAATAGAGATGGAAATAGCCCTTGGATTTAGTGGAGTGGTGATTGGTTTCCAACTTTTGGAATAGTTTCCTATGGTTTTTAAGTATCTCACAAGTTCCTAGATTATAAAATATTTTTGTGTTATAAGTGATCTAATTTTTTACTCTGTCGGTTGTCAAAGGCTGGGTTATTTGAGTGTTCACATTTCAAACAGAAGGAGAGAGTGGGTGGGGATGATTTCAAAGAGGCCATGAAATACATTACCTTTTCTTTTTGAACTTTGCCTAATGTATTTGTTATAATTGACACCATTTCACTCACTTTGAACTTCTATTGTGTTTAATATATATTCATGAACATGTGGATGTTGTTGGTAATTTACTCAATCCATTCAGAGAGTGTCTTGGGATTCAAAAGCTATAAATTGGCTTCAAATATATGAACTGTCTTCTAAATTGGACATGGTAGTGATAGGTAATAGGCAACCTGAATTTGAGACTCTCCTTTCCTTTGTCTATTATGTGTAATTCCACTCATTTTGATCTTCAATTGTCTGTGTCCTTCCTGTCCTTTCCAGTTAGATTTCTAGGCCTAAAATTCAGACTTTAAATAAGTTAGACTTCTATGCCTTAGAATCCAGACATTAAACTCAAGAATGAGTTAGATTTATATGCCTTGGAATCCTTACTTTAAATCTAAAAATTGATGATTTGGAATCTTAGATTTAAAGTAAGGAGTCTAAGTCAGTTTATACCCTATATCATTGAACTTTAAATTCACAGGATTTTTATTGGATGCCTTGATAATAATTTCCTTTCTTTCTATTTGGGTGGCCTGTCATTTAGGAGCATGTACAATTTCTTTGAGTTCGATGTCAACACTTTCCATTATTTATTTTTGGTCTATTCTGTTCTTGTATGGTTTTGTTATATGGGTACTCTTAATTTTTTTGTTTCTTCCATGGATGATAGGGGTGAGAAAATATTTATTTTCTGGTCTGTATCCTCCTCCAAGTATAAAGTGCGGATTTGTGTTATAGCTCAAGTAGTGTACTGCAATCATATCATTTTGCAGTGGGCTAATTAAGTGAAGCGAATAGGAACAATAGGTTTAATTATGGGGATCTAAAGCTTTTCTGGTGGTACAAAAAGTGTTGTCCTCACATGGTTTTAGGACCAAAAAAAAAAAAAAAAAAAAAAAAC